AGCGTCGGTTGTACACAAAACACGTTAGCCTCGCTCCTCTTTGCACGCTCTGCTTGGAACCACGATGGCTCACACACGCACTTGCGCACACAGCCATGCCCAGAGTCTTGATGCGATTCCTGATTGCACGCAATGACGACGGACTACTCTGCACCCGTGAGCGGATCATGCATGCCGCGCGGGGTAGACGATCCGGCCTGCCGGGCCAGCTGCGTCTCTTGCTCGTCGAGGCGCTGTTTGCCCTTGCTGCTGGTGCTGCTTTCGCCTGCGCTGCTTTCGGAATGGAAGCTGGGCGGATTCTCGCCACGCGTGGGCGTCTGCGCCCGGCTCTCGCTCAGCGGCGTCAAACCGGCAGGCATCTCGTCGATCGCGGTCAACTGCCCCGGCGAAGCCACCATCCCCGTACCCGCCATGCCTGCACCCGAGGCGTGCAGCGGCATAGCACTCGGCGGCAACGTCATAGTGAAGCTCCGGCGCGGCTCGTGCACCTCGGCGTGCTGCTTGGGCGAAAGCGACCCGCCGTATTCGGCTCCAGGCGGTACGCTGCCACGCCGGCCCCGTGGGCCAAGTGCAAACGATACACCAGACTGCACACGCTGCACCGCCGACATCCCATTCTCCCCTCCGCTGCCCGTACTGCCACTGCGCTGGTGATACACCTCGGTGCTCATCGAGGGTCGCGGAGCCGTAGGGTCCACAAAGGTGCTATCGCGCTCCCACTCGTCCAGATGCGACACGTCGTCGTCCAGCATATCCTCCAACTCCAACTCGGACGGCAACAAAATGGCCCGGTCGATCGCAACAGGCAGTCCACGGTGGCGACCGCGAATCATCACCGCACACACCACCAGCTTGGACAGCGTGTGGAAGCGACCCGACAGACTGAACGAATCGAAGGGAGTGCCCAGACTCAGGCCGACGGTGCCGTAGGCCGAGGTGAGCTCAAAGAGGCAGCTGAAGATGGTGAACCAGCCGTTGGAGTTCGGGTCCTGGATGTCGTCGCGCTCGATGATGCACACCAGCCACAGCGCAAAGCCGAGCCACCAGATGTCGAACGCCAGCTGGCGGCGCGCATGCGAGGCCAAAAAGGACCCCCACACTTTCGGATTGCCGGACTCCTGCGGCAGATTGCCCGGGTCCGTCGGCTCGTCGCCGTACACCCCGAGCGACTTTTCCTCGTACACATTGGTGCTGCGCACGGACAGCGCGAGCGGGAACGGCGAGAGGTACATCATGACGACGTACAGGAACTGCACCGCCGGCGCGAGCGTCAGCAGGCTCACCACCGTGAACCCCGCGGCGCGCACGGCGATCGACTGGAAGAGCCCGTCAAAGACGCGGATGTCGAGCTTGATCGACTCGATCGTCGGATTGTTGATGTCGAGGATCAGGAATGCCAGCCAGTCGATCGAGGTGAAGACGACGAGCACAAACGCCAGGAACCACGTCTGGCTCGAGGGAAAGAGGTACACGAAGCACCGACGCGGATGGTCGAGCAGGAAGCGCAGCGTCTCGTACACGCTCGACCCCTTGGGCACGCACAGCGACACGATCCAGATGAAAAAGCGCAGCACGATGGGAAAGCCCGTATTGCCCGCCAGGATCAGGAACGCCATGGGGATGAGCAGAAAGTAGGCGTCCTGCATGAGCGTCATGCTCGTGTCGATGAGCGACATGCCCGTGTTGGTGTACGCCGACACCACGTTGAAGAACCAGAACCACGTGTAGTTGGGCCGGTTCGCACCCTGCTGCTCGAACGCAGGCCGGTACTTTGCAAACGCCCCGCTGTTGATGTACGGCGCCACGATAGTGATCATGCCGAGGTTGATCATGAGCCAGTAGGCCGGGATGAGTTTGGCGAGCAGATCGAGCGCGCGGTACTCGACGCCGCCGAGCTCGTCCCGCTGCGCCTCGGTGAGCGCGTGGAAGCGCGAGTTGCCGGTGACCGTGGCGTCAAAGGACAGATAGGGGGCCGTCTTGGATCCGCCGTCGGTGAGTCCACCGCCAGAGCGCACCGAGGTGAAGGTGGATGTGCGCGGCATGGTCATGGTCCTCTGAAAGCGCTCCTGGACGCCGGGCATGGCCTTCTTGATGGCCAGACCGGCGATCTCGAGCGGCGTGGGGAATCCTCCGAGGCCACGCTGCTTGGCCGAGGTCTGGGTGCGTGCCAAGGGGACGCCGCGTCCGTAGCCCGTGCGGCCCGAGGCGTAGGATCGGCCAGTGACGGTGCGGTTGAAGTTGGCGTTGCGCTGACGCATGCCGGCGCCGGGTCTGTGGAAGTGGGTGCCTGTGGTGTAGCCGGATGACTCGCGCAAGGCGGGGTCGGCGGGGGAGCGGTAGTCGCTAGGCACGGCGAACTCGACGGTCTGGGCGCGTGGGAACATGTCGTGCTTCTCGTGCGCGTTGTAGGTGGCCATGAGTCCGGTGTCGGAGCCTCGACGGAAGTGCGACTGGGGCGGGTCGGATACGCGTCTGCCTCGTCCGAGCGGTTGGTGGTCGGGGAAGCGTGCGCGAAGCGGCGGCG